CTGGAAAATCATCATCAAGCGGTGGCCGGCCTTATGTGAAGAACAATCCACTTTACTAAACGCTTCATTTACTTTGTCAAATAAGATACTCACAATTTCTCTCTATACCTTTTACTCGTACCTAATAACATGAAAACACTGCCGTCGTGATATACGTAATACTAATCTCAATCTTCATGCGGAAATAAACGGGCTGGCATTAAACGAGGTAAACTAGTCATATTTTTCAAAGGCTTTCAATGAGTATGCTTAAAAAGGTCGGGAAATTTTTTATTACAGGATACGTCATTAGCAAGATCGAATTTCCACAAAACCTGCGATTCATAAACCCGTGCAACACGTGCTTTCATTAATGACGTGTAATAAATTAATGGTGAATGAAAAATAATGAAGAGAGTTTCGGAGCAGCAGAAAACCTTGTTTTTTTTCTGCCACCATTTCTCCTGAGGTGGAAGGTTTTGTCCGCCGACAAAAAGCTATAATTAGAAACTAATGTCATTTGCAATTTATTTTGTTTTTATGATTTGATCAATTAATTATTACTTATCGACCGGCAATTAAATTTCTTTTTATATCACTAATTATTACCAATAAAAAGGCGGGAGATGAACCCTTGCCTCCTAATTGTTTATGCTTCGAATAATACTTTCACAAATTCTCTATTTTCAATTTACTAATAACAATGCCCAGCAAAAAAGAAGAGAAAAAGCATAGTAAATCAGAACAAGAAAATCACCAACAAAAAGCAAAAGAAACCAACCAATTGCAAACTTCTACTTCAAGAAAAACACTTCGTCGTTTGCGAAATCAACAGCAAATTGAGAAAATGTCGTCAAAAGTCCAGTTACTTTGAATTTAGATAAAGCGATCGAAATTACTAAAGAAAAAGTTAAAAGGGTAAAAGAAAGCAACTCGTTTTCAATAGCAGTATTTCTTTCAAAATTTTTTATTTTTTATTCTCTAAATAGATTGCAAAAGAATGTCATCGGTTGAATATAAAATTTCTTGATCGTGAATTTGACCTTTCAGAATACTATTCTTGCCTTTATAATTTTTGTAAAGTAACTTATACTTCGATTAATGACATCAAGAGAATAAGTAAACTTTTCAAAGATGCAAAATTTTATGCTGATGGTGTTAGCCCCGGGGATGTTCAACAAGGAATGAAGGTATGTGTGCTATTATAATTTTTTGCTTTGATTGAGACATGAATTTTAATTTTCAACTTTTTCTAATTAGATTGACGATTGCTGCTTTTTATCTGCAGTGTCCACCTGCACAAATATTTCAGGAGTCATTGAAACTATTTGTGTTGAACGTGATGAACAAGTCGGGGTAAAGTTGGAGAGACAATGTTTTCAAGATACAACTCCATATATTAAATTACTTTACTTTTATCAACAATAACAATAGGTATATGGGTTTATCTTTTTCAAGGTATTTAAATTTAATGTGTTTAATTACGGATTCTAGCTTTAGAATAGAAACTTAATGATCTCATAAAATTTCGTGCTAATATAATTTTTAGGACGGCGATTGGGTTTCTACCATCGTCGACGACCAGTTATTCATTTGGACTGACGTAGAAAACAATACTTCGACTATTTCTGCTGCGTAAGTTCTTAGTTTTTTATCTTTTATAAAAAATATTAATTTATTATCTGCGTATGTAGTTCATGTAAAGATCCAAATGAAACTTGGTTGCCATTACTTGAGAAGGAATATGCCAAAATTCATGGAGATTACAAAAGTATTGAAGGCGGCACGATATCACATGGTATATTTATGAAATATTTATTCATCTTTAGTTAGAACAATTCAATTAAACCATTTATTAAAATTCGACAAAGCTCTCGAAGATTTAACCGGCAGTGTGTCTACAGACTATGCAACAAGTGAAATATTAGATACTGATCGATTATGGAAGAAAGATTTCCTCAATGTAAACAGATCGTTATTAGCAGAACCGGACTTGGAAAAAACAAAAGAACTATTAGACGAACATGCATACAGTATTTTAGACGCAACAGAATACCAAGGCACAAAACTAGTAAAAATACGAAATCAGTGGGGAAAAACGGAATGGGCAGGTGATTGGAGTGATGGCAGTGAACTTTGGACCTCGGAATCTATGGCGGCACTGAATCATCGATTTGGCGATGACGGCATTTTTTTGGATCTCTTATGAAGATTTTTTGAATTTCTTAATTATTTTTTAAATGCAAAATATTTGATGCTAGTTGGAATGTTTACTCCTCGTGGATTAATTACAATGTTCGTCCAAAATCAGATAGCAAATTTATTTTGAATTTGTCAAAGAAGACAAAAAGTTATTATTGTTCTTCAACAACCGGATAATCGATATTTCCATAAACCTCGGCATATTTGTAGGTATTTTCTTGAAAGTTCATAGTTTATTTTAAACTAATCAAAAATTTTCCTATCGTCTCTCATGGTCTTCACTTAGATACCAACTCACTCGCCTTTAGAGTTTTCGAACAGGGAAGTTCGACCTATCTAATTCG